CTCATGATGTGTTAAAAAAAAAAAAAAAAAGTAAAGGACCCTTTCTACGCCTTTAGGCGTATAGGGCATATAGGGCTAGACCTATATTTTTATAGACCAACGGCACAAGATGGGTGATGTGGTCAGCATCACGCCAGCCGCCTTTACTTCCCGGAACTGCACCTGGTACACACTCAAGGCTGGGTCGACCTGAGAGCCAAGGTCATTTTTGAAGAAAAGTCCGTCTCCGCCAGGGAGCGAACCCACAACCTTCCGATCCGCGGCGAGCGTCTAGCCGCTCGGCCACGGCGACTCCCTCATGATGTGTTCCAAATACAAATTGACGGGGCTTTGAAAAATGTGCTTATGTCATTTTAAATGAGTATTGCACTGCTTGCATCACACACACAAAAAGGATAAAACATGATAAAGACAAAAATCATACATCATCATCATCTTAGGGACATAAGCAAAACTCATTTTACAAACCAGTCCAGAATTCACAAAGCAGCAAACGAGATGGAGGAAATACATATGAAAGCATATTTACAGTTCACTATGTAGACCAGTCTCACTATAGAAATTTAGTCAAATATAATTTTGCCAATCTGGCCAAATCATATTTTGGATATAGTCAAATCTCATTATGGAAATGTGGGCCAATCTCATCATGGAAATATAGTCCAAACTCAGTATGGAAATCTCATCAAATCTCATTATGGAAATGTAGTCCAATCTTATTACACAAATCTATCACATCTTATTCTAGATGAAATCAAATCTCATTATGGAAGTCTAGTCACATCTTATTAAGGAAATTCAGTTAAATTCTAGTACATAAATCAGGTCTAATCTCCTTGTTGAAAATGGTCAAGTCTCATTCGGCCAAAACTCAAAAAAAATTTTTATAAATCAGACCTACTGAAAAACTCATTGAGCACTAATTGTATCACTAATGCCCCATGCTAATGAAGGCTTTCTAGCCATAACTATAAGATTTGTTGTGGCTTACAGTACTGTAAAGCTAACTAGTTCTTCTTTTCATTTCGGCTGGCCCTTTGTCATGATATTTAAAACTCAATTTAGATTTGCGTTTGCGACTGAGGATGTAGCAGAAAGCACCACACACATCAAAGCCAATAGATTCTGCAACTGATGTTTGGTAGTATAAGGCCAAGTGGGCGAATGCTGAATATTAGTTCAAATACTGCAACCATGACACCTCCACTGCAATCATTAAGACATGCCACACTACCTCTAGCTATAATAGACCGGCCCACTTGACTATCCACCTCCAAGGTGCAGGGCTTGTTGGAAGATACCAACACAGCAGAAGAGGGAAGAGAATTATACACACTGCTACTCTTATGCACAACACGGCAAGAATGTTCAAGACGAGCAGAGGAGTCGGAAGACTCTACAAGGGTTGTAACTCTGTCTGCATAGCCAAGTGGAGCTATAGTGAAACAACACAATGATCAGTCAGACAACTGTAACTACAAAATAATCATCTAACTCTTTGGAGTTACCCTTTATAAAGGGTTCTCAAACTGGGTGCCGCAAACATATGCCAGGGGTGCCGCAGAAATAATCAAGAATTTTTCAAAATTTGCATGAAATCAGCAAATACAGCAGTTTAAAACAGAAACAATGTGAATGAAGTCAAGAAGAGTTCTGGATTCAGGTGTATTCAGAAGACTACAGTATAAAACAGAAACAATGTGAAGGAAGTCAAGAAGAGTTCTGGATTCAGTTGCACTGTTTCTTCTTCTCTTCCTAAGTATTCAAACTGCTTTAAGGGTAGATGTGCCGCAAAGTTTTTTTTAACCCGACAAGGGGGCCACAGCGAGAAAAGTTTGAGAAACTCTGCTCTATACAGCTTGGTCTGTAGCAGAATGTGGTAGTGCCAGACTCATAGTCTCCCTAATGCGTACATAGCGCCCGTCTGTTCACTATTCTGTGGTGCTTGTCCATGTGGGCACGATTCCGAGCCTCTCATCCTAAATTACCTGTACTAACGGATGTGAATCTGTTGTATCCAGTTTGCAAGTTTTCTAAAAGATTCTGAACTAATGCATTGAATGTTTCTTTTTTCTTTTTTTTTTAATAGCTTCTTCTTCTCCTTCTTTACATTTAACTGCTGCAAACTCTAACAGAAAGTTCTGGTTATTTGTCCACTTCTGGACTCTAAAACTGTTCCAGAAAGTGAATTTTGTGTGCACCTCTGTTTTACAAGGTCTGATTCATTTGTATGCAGAATGTTGGTTCCTCACCTCTGAGGCAGAAGCACTTTGATTTTGAAGGAAGCTCCCAATTAGCCGACTCCCACAACCCACATGGAGACAATTAAAATAACATTATAAAATAATAAAATTAATTAATCAGAATATCCAAAAAGTAAATTCACTAAACAATATATTTTTTAAACAAATAATTACGTAAGTGTCATTATGAAGTAACAGTAAAGAATACCACACTAGCAGCATTTAACAATAATAAAAACTATAAAGAACATTATAAAATAATGAATTTAAGGAAGAACATTACAAAATAATGAATTTAAGGAAGAACATTAAAAAATAATGAATTTAAGGAAGAACTTTATAAAATAATGAATTTAAGGAAGAACTTTATAAAATAATGAATTTAAGGAATAACATTACAAAATACTGAAGCTGTGAAAAACATCATAATGAACTAAAGAAAGAACATCAGAAACTAATAAAGTCATGTAAAGAAAAATCGCAAACTAAATCTTTTCTGGAGCAAAACAAATGTGACAATTTATAGTAGAATATACAAAATAATAAATCAATCAATTAGGTGCCATCTCCACCATAAAGGTTGGCTGCAATGGATCTCCAACACCCTCTGTTTCTTGTCTTGGTAATACACTTTCTCAGACTGCTGTTCATCCATCATGTGATATTGTATTCCCACTTGTATCATTGCCTACCTTTTGCTCTCTTGTCCTCAACCTCTCCCTCCTATGATTTTTTTAAAGAGGTTCATGACTTTTAATTTTCTCTCTTTTTTATTTCTTTAGGTAATTCTATTTTAATTTGACTCCCTAGTACCTTTGTTTTTGACTGTTTTTTGTTTCCATGAAATATGACCTATTCGTCTGTATATCCATATTCCCAGAGACCCAATTCAATTTTCTAGTTGACTGTTCATTGTCCAAGTTTCTGTGCCATGCAGCATGGTTTAGTATACATAACATCTGGCCACTCTAATTTTCAATGTGTTGTTTATCTCTCTGTCAACCCAACGTCAATCCAACGCTCAACACTCAGGGGAAGGATGAGACGGATATACAATCAGACGGTTACTGGTACTATCAAAACTGGAACTCTTCGCTTGCTGCTGAAAATGGGGATTGAGCATTTATGGGAGTGTCCCGGGTGCTGTGATGTCAATTCTTAATTCGACATTCAACATTTTATCTGTCAATAATTGTCACACCTTATGGAAGACGCCATTTTAAGCCATTCCTAATCTCTTTTCTTTATTTCTGTGTCATTTCTGCCATCATCTGTTATTATGTGTCCAAGACAGGAGAAACATCACAAACTAATGACCTTGTATAAATAACCTTCAAAATAATGAAGCTATATAAAGAAGATTATAAGACATGATACACTGAACAGCTTACATCAAGATGCACTGGAGAGCTCACATTTTGGTCCATTAAGCAGTTGAAAATCTTGTTACATTACACCGCTTACTTTCCCTAAAATGAGCCTACTTTCATAAGTAACAAACAGCTTACTTTCGTAAGCAACAAACAGCTTACTTTCATAAGTAACAAACAGTTAACTTTCATAAGTAGCAAATAGCTTACTTTCATTAGCAACAAAATGCTTACTTTCAAAAATAAAAAACAGCTAACTTTCATAAGTAGCAAACAGCTTACTCATAAGTAACAAACAGCTTACTTTCATAAGTAACAGAAAGCTTACTTACGTAACAAACAGCTTATATGCTGATTATTTACTGTACCAATAATATGTTCAGCAACCACAACTAAAAAGCACAAATTCTAATCATTTCCCAATTTATGTACAAAACATGCTATAAGAATATAGTGTATATATGAACAAACAGCACAAACATACCTCATGAAACAACATATACAGACAAGATTAAAAATATTATTGTTGGCACCACACCACCTTATGTCACAAAATTGCCATTTTGGCACTTTTCACCTAAGTGCATTTCAAGGCTGTTATCTGTTATTTTACAATATGCCAATGGTGCACATGAGAATTCCTACTACAAATAGATCAAAATGTGGGCTCCGGAGCCCCATTGGGTAGGGAAGGGGAGATTTTTTCTTCTTCCTTGTGCTCACCAGCTGTAAACACTGGTGACAAGTTCTGATAGTTCGCCCACTTCTGAACTGGTAATCTTGTTCCAGAACCTGAGTTCTGCGTGCACATCCATTTTACAGTTGAGGCTTAGCTGTATGCTGACTGTTGGATCCTCATCTCTCACTCAAGCAGATGTGCTGTGATTTGGAAAACTCCACTAATTAGTCGACTTGTAGGACGGCAGTGGGTCTACCCCCAACCCTATGTCCAATGGGGCCTCGGAACCCACAAGGGAGTGGTGAAATAACAGACCCACTGACTCACCCCCACCTCCAAGCATATTGTGGGAGGGGACTAATAAAGGGGTGTTTCCCAAGTCAGAGTGCATCTGCCTGTGAGGCAACAAACCAACAGTCTGCATACAAATAAGCCAGATGTGTAAAACAAATGTGCGAGCAACTCAAGTTTCTGAACAACACCACAGTTTAGAAGTGAAAGAACAACGATAGCTTACTGCATGGAGTTTACAGCCAGTGAACGCTAAAAGGAAGAAGAATAGGATTTACTTTTTATGCAGCTATGCAACTGTTCACTCAGTGTTCAAATGTGATTTCCTAGAAAAAAGGATTCTGCACCTTTGTGACCATGGTGCAGCTCCTTTCATACAAACAAGTGAAGGTATGTAGAAAATAAAATGGTAGCTACCTGAGATGTGAAGCTGGGACAGGTCTGGAGGGGGAGGGAACCTGTCATCGTAGAAGCTACTCTTTGGCTGGACAGTCACAGCCTGCCTGACTCCGCCCACTGCTTCAATCAACTGCCAACATACAGGATGCACCATGTTAATTTGTCAATAAATGAATCAATCGATGATTGAACAAAGATCTCACACCACTGCACCCAGGACATTCCCACCCGTTCTCCGTCTCCTGTCTCAGTAACCAATGAAGAGTTCAGACGCTAATAGCACCAGCTACCACATGATGATAAGTCCACCTTTGCTTCCTCCTCTGTTGAATATCTTCCAGAACATCTGCTTACCCACCTCTGAATTAGTGATTAGTGATTAGAAAGGATTATCATCACAGCACTCCAGACAGATCCATAGGTGCTCCGATCTCCTCCTCAAAAGCTCCACAAGTGTGAAACCACTGATGATGCCTGTTCTGTGATGGGTAATGAAACGTCTTGTCCCCTTAGGGAAATGTTCATTTCTTGCCATTTCAGGCTGCACCACCATGTCAACCAGTCTAGGCAGGGATGCAGAGTCATGTCCTCTGGCGTGCTCCTCGGTACAGTAAGTGCAGTACATGACATTGATAAGATCACTTCTGTCTATAGCAACCACAGTTTCAGCAAGAATTAGTCTTTCAAGCTATGGCTACTCTTTTCTGCTGCACAGTCCATGTGCTGCTCCTAGATCTTGTAATATTGTCAAATCAGCAAGATAAAGATGATTTTGGCTATCCTCCGAACAATGGGCACAAAAGATGGCGGCCGAAAAATATCCTTTTGAGCCTCAGTCACGTGTCAATTGCACACCTCCGGCGACTTTATTTGCGGTTTTCCTGCGACCGCCGCCACAAGTCGCTCACGCGGCTAGGACTTAGGAGCAGCAGCTTCTGCATCTCCTGCGGCTTTGCTCATGAGTCCTAGCCATCTAGTTTAGCCCCAATCCACGCCGCATGAGTGGTGTGGGGGACTCATGGCGGTGGCGGTACTTGCAGGAAAACCGCAAATTAAGTCGCCGGAGGTGCGCAACTGACACATGACTAAGGCTCGAAAGAATATTTTGCGGCTGCCATTTTTGTGCCCGTTGTTCGGAGGATAGCCATGATTTCAAAGTAGACAGTGGATGGAAGTGCCTTTAACTAGAGGCCCGCAAGCCGAATCCAGCCCACAAAGGCCTAGCAATTGGCGGGCAGAACAATGATCTTACTACACTGGGGCTCGAGTCTCTGCCCTGTGATGATCCTCATTTGACAATTTTGCCCTCTGAATAAATTTAGATGAATAGTTCTTGTGTTTGAGCTGTAGCGCTCAACTTCTGACCTCGCCATTTTTCTCTTTTCTTTCCGGCTTTTATTCCCTAATGGAGCATAGGCCCACAACCAACAATGCCAAGAGGTCCTACCATTTGCCACCACATGTAGCTCTCTCCATGTAATCCATTCTTGTGCATTTTATTTTCTATTTCCCTTCTTTATGTTTTGTTTTTGTCTGGTTGATTTTTTTTTAGCATGGGGGAAAGTAGCAATACAGTTAGTTAGTTAGTTAGTTAGTTGGGTTATCGTCATTGCACTCCGGACATGTCCATAGGTGCTCAGATCCTCCCCTCAGTATGAATCCCAACGTCCGATGGCTAATAGTACCAGTTCTATGTTGATTAACAAGTCTTCTGACGTGTCCGGTGTGCGTCTCGTTTTTTGCTGTGCCGATCTTAATTCCCAAGTCTGCCATTCTGGCGAGTGATGTGGATTCACTGCCACCAAAGTCCTCTATCCTTCCCATTTCTCTGAGGGCATTGAAAATATCAGCATGATCCATAGGCCGACCGTCGGTAGTGATAGCAGATCCAGCCAACCTGTCAGCTCTTTCATTTCCATCGACGCCTGCGTGTCCCGGAACAAAAATAAAGGTGACTCCACGCACAGTGGACTTCTGTAATGATTCAAGCCATTGTCTTCGCACTGAACCTGCCTGAACCCTCCGGATCATACTCATTGAATCACTGAGTATACATATGCGGGTGTATTTTTGTGTTTCAAGCCAGGCAAACGCTTGCGTCACTGCCATCACCTCCATCGTCATGCTGCTGGTTGTCATGGAGAAGGCACCGTTGGCTTCTTTGACTGTTCTGCCCGCTGAGCGTGCTGTAAATGCCCATGCGCTTCTTCTTTGGCGTATAACGGATCCGTCTGTATAGATTAGTGCATCTGCTTCGTCTGAATTTTTACCGATGAGAGCGTTGACCTCTGCATTAACAGCAACAGGATTCTCTTCTCTACATCGCCTGTTGAGTGTGACAATACAGGAAAATGTACAAATAAACGCCTGAGGCACAGGTATCCATTCTGCACCAGGTATGATGTCGGTTAGGCTGCATATTTGCCTAATAACATCTTCTGCCCGACCTAGCCACGATTTTCCCCTCTTCAGTCTGTCGCCCTTTTCACTAAAAAGCGCTTGATGCAGTGGGTGTTTCTTATCAGCACATATTTTGAGGTATGCCCGAGCCCTCCACATCCTGATCCTTTGGTTCATTGTTGGAAAGTCAAGTAGATACCTCATTGCTTCACAGGATGTGTCTCTTGTACATCCCAAAATAATGCGCATGGCTTCATTTTGCACCTTTTCGAGTCTTTCAATCTGGGTAGCACTGACAGTGAGGATGGCCAGAGCGTATTCAATGGGTGAAAGGACCAGACCATAGAATAGAAGTATTAGTAGTCTTTGCTCGATATTGGAAGCAGCCATAATCCTCATTGCAGATAGACCTTTGCGTGCTTTTGTTATCACATGGTCAACGTGTTCCCTGAATGACAAGCTGCGATCGAACCTCACCCCGAGAAACGTCATAACGTTGGTTCTGATCAATATATTATCACGCATTTTCACTTCTGGTAAGTCCGACTTGACAATGTGATTGTTCAAAGAGAACCATGACACTGATGACTTCGAAGGATTGACATAGGCATTGGAACCATCACACCAGGCGGCAATTCGATCGAGTTCTTTGTGCATTGTGCTGGCGATCTCCTGTCTATCACGCCCTCGTCGATAAATCAAAATGTCATCAGCAAATGACAAAGTCCTTCCCTTTCCATTCAACTGCTGCTCAGTGATCATCACCGTATAAACGTTGAATAAGACTGGTGATAGCGGTGATCCCTGTGGCAAGCCTGGACATATCGTTTGCGGTTCTGAGGACCAGCTACCACATCTTAGTACAATCTTTCTCTGGAACAGGACCGCAGCAATCCAGCGGATCAGAATATGGTTGACTTCTAGTTTAAGCAGTAATTGCATTAAATATTCGTATGGTACTTTATTGTAGGCATCTTCTAAGTCCAACACTGCCGCATATGTCTCTTCTTTAATCTGAAATCCCTCGTACACATCGTAGGCGAAAACAGCAGCATTGAACCATGTCTCTTTCTTCAACCTGTACCCTCCAAGTGTTGATGGGAACTTATCATGTAGTTCCAAGTAGGTGGTCAATCTTTGTGCGACAATTTTTTCCAAAAGTTTGCCAACAGTATTCTGCATCGAGATGATTCTGTAGCCGCAGATCTTTGAGTGGTCTTTATTAGCAATACACCTTTTGGGGATGGAACAATATTCCTTTGAAAACACAACAATATATCTTTGGGAATGCAATGATAAACTTCTGAGGATGCAACAATACACTTCTGGGAATACAACAATATAAAAATATATCTTTAGAGAAAAAAAATATACCTTTCAATAAGCAACAATATACTTTGTATACATTGTATCTGTAAAAGCACAAACATATATTTGGAAAAACAAGAATATATCTCAGAAAAAGCAACAATACCACCTTTGGGAAAGCAGCAAAATATATTCAGAAAAGGATAAAAATATCTTTAGGAAAGGAAAAGTATACCTTTGTGGAAGCAATAATATGCCTTCGGGAAAGCAATATTATAACTTAGTCCAAGTAACACTATTTATCAGGGCTAGCAATGAGATACCCTTGAAAAAGCAAATGTTATAACTTAGAGGAAACAACTATATACATGGTGGGAAAGCAACCAAAATATACCTTAGGAAAAGCACAAATACAGTAATATGACTTTGGGAATGCCACAATATGCCTTTGGGGAAGCATTGAATTACCACTGAAAAAGACACAATATGCTTTTTGAAAGCAAAAATATACCTTTATGAAAGATAAAAGTATACTTCAGGAAAAACAATAATTTACCCAAAGGAAAGCAACAATCTATCATTGTGAAAGTCCACAATATACATTTGTAAAAGCAACAATATTAATTTCAGAAAGGAGCAATACACATTTAGGAAAGTAACAGTATACATTTAGCAAAAATATACACCTTTAAGAAAACAAGGATATATGTTCGGGAAAGCAACATTATACCACTGGGACAGCAACAGTGTACATTAGAGTTTGCAACAATGTACCTTTGGGCAAGTAAAACAATTTTTTGGGAAACCTTTTCCTGTGGGAAAGCAACAACATGACAGTCTTCTTCTTCTTCTTCTTCTTCTCTTGCACCATTTACCTCAGCGAGGTGTTGGGGTAAAATGTAAGGTTGTTTGTGCGCTTTTTCCAAAGCATTGTTTAAGCTGGTGTTAATTTCTGTTAGCTTGCTCCTGATGGTGTTGTTCCATCTCTTGCGTGGTCTTCCCCTTGCTCTGTGTTCATTATATTTCTTAAGCGTGGCTCTCTGTGGCAACTGGTACCAGAGCATTCTCGTCAGGTGGCCAAACCATCTCATTTGTTGTTCTTTAATGAACTGTATGACTGGTATCAGTCCTAGTCTTCTTAAAATTTCTTCATTCCTGATTTGATCTCTTCTTGTCACACTGGCAGCTCTCCTACGACATCTCATCTCTGTTGTTACGATCTTCTGCTCATTAGTTGTAGTAAGGATCCATGTTTCGCACCGGTAGCACAATGTCGGCCAAAAGACTGTTCTTATGACCATCTACATTTGTAAAAGCAAAAGTATACATTTCAGAAAGACAATGAACAAAATACTCACAGCTTGATTGTTCTTTCTCCAGTGAGAGGCAGCTGCAGCGTCAGCTGGATTCATGGCCACAGCTTTGGCACTCTGCACATCTGGTGTAATTGCTGTAGGCAATAATAAACAGCTAGCAACATAGAGACAGTGACAGGATAAAGTTGTAACACAAGCAACAAAAAGACAGTGACAGGATGAAGTTATAACACAAGCAACATATAGACAGTGACAGGATAAAGTTGTAACACAAGCAAAAAAAAGACAGTGACAGGATGAAGTTGTAACACAGGCAACAAAAAGACAGTGACAGGATGAAGTTGTAACACAAGCATCAAAAAGACAGTGACAGGATAAAGTTAAATCACAAGCAACAAAAAGACAGTGACAGGATGAAGTTATAACACGAGCAACAAAAAGACAGTGACAGCTAGCAACATACAGGTATAGGCAGTGATGGAATTCAGTTACAACAGTGCAACAATGAAGACAGTGACAGCTAGCAACACATATGTAACTGTAAGATAAAGTTAAATCACAGCAATGATGAAGGCAGTCACAGCTAGCAAGATACGGACAGTGCTGGGAAAGTTTCTTCATCCTCTTCTTCTGCATCCACCCTGAACTAGGTATAATATCTGGGCCTTTCGGCATGATACGTCTAATTTCAGCAACTCCTTAATTAGTCGGTTCCCTAATAAGGCAAAAGAGGGTGACCAAAGAACGTTGTCTCATTCGCATTGTTGTACATAATGTTCTACTTTCATTAGCCATTTCCAGGCATTCAATGTTGGTTATTCTGGCAGTCCAAGGTAACCTCAACATTCTTCTCAAGAACCACATCTCAGTTGCCTCCAAACTCTTCTTAATTTGTTTGCTCACATTCTAATATTCACTACCATACAACAAAACAGGCTCGATATAACATTTCAATACTCATTTTTCTGATGTTAATTATACATGCCATCTTAAAAGATAACAGTATTTTAAAAACTGAGTAGATTTTCTCTCTCTCTCTTCTGCCTTTCTATCCCCCAATGGAGCATAGGCCCTCAACCAACTCATGCCAAGTCGTTCTATCCTTCGCCATTACATGGAGCTCTCCCCATGTCCTCCCAATCTTTCTAACCTCATTCTCCAGCTCTCTTCTCCACGTGTTTTTTGGCCTTCCTTTATTCCTATGCCCCTGTGGGTTCCAATGCAAAGACAAGATTTCCTCTAGACTTATTTAAATAAAAGGGCCTTTTCCCACACCTTCATGTGTATTGGGCTTTTGAGGCTAGACCTAAATTTTATAGACCAATCAACACTGGGCCGCCTTTACTTACCAGGACTTTACCTGGTACCCATGTAAGGTTGGGTTGACCTGGGAGCAAAGTTCATTTCTTTTTCAAGTTCAGTTCTATTAGGACCTGAACCCACGACCTTCTGATTCGCAGGCAGGCATCTAGCCGCTACACTATAGCAGCTCCCTGATTTTTTAAATTACTAAGATTTATTGGTGTTAGAAATGAAGGTGTACTTCGGGTACATTGCAGTGCTTGTATTTAATATTTAGCTGCAAATGATAATATTAACTCTTACTTATTAGCAGCGCTTAACGGCAGAAGTGGTTTATGATGATGATGATGATGATGATGATGATGATGACTTATCAACAGATCTATGAATGAAATGATATATGAATGAAATAGTGTATGAATGAAATGATGTATGAATGAGATGATGTATGAATGAGATGATGTATGAATGAGATGATGTACGAAAAAAATGACCTTTAAAAAAAAGGATACTAGAAAGGCAAAATGTTAGACATGTCTGTGTGTCCAATTCTTAACTTTTTGTAAATAAAGTTTGTTTGTTTATTTGTTCCACTTGGAGTGTGCACAACGATGATGGTGGTGGTTGCACTATTTTTGTTTCCAAGTGAAACAGAAGTCAGTTTTCAATCAAATGAGTTTTCATAGCACTAGAAAATTTGTGGAAATCACAGAAAAACTTATCACTCATCCTAAACTTGATATTTTTAATGTTGAATGCTGAATTAAGAATCGACATCTTAGCACTCGGCACACTCCCATAAGCGCTCCGTCCCCATCTTCAGCAGCAATCGAAGAGTCCCAATTCCGATTGCACTAGTAACTGTATGATTATATATATATATATATATATATATATATATATATATATATATATATATATATATATATATATATATATATATATATATATATATATATATATATATATATATATATATATATATATATATATATATATATATATATATATATATAAATAAGATTTTTCATTACAATGTCAAATCAGTACTGCTGTATGGTGTGAACATATGAAGAACAACTGATAAACTACATTTTTTTTAAACAGAGGGGAAAAAACAGAGGGAAAAAAAACGGTATGATAGAATCAATAATGCTGCTTTGGGACAGAACAAATTTCAGTGAATCAAGAGGTGAGGAAGAGAGGCTGGCATTGGATAAAAAGGCAGATGCTGAAAAAACAAACAACAATATAACAACAATGTCTTTGCACTGGAACCCACAGCGGCATAGAAATTAAGGCAGAAAATAAACACATGGAGAAGGGAGCTAAAGAATGAAGTTAAAAAGATGTGAAAGACATGGGCGAGCCGCATGCAATAGCAAAGGCTAGGACGGCTTGGCGTGAGTTGGTTGAAGGCCTATGCTCAACTAGGGAAATTAAACAGGCGAAGATGAACTTACTGGAAGACAGAATTTCCGAAGCTCGGTTGACCCGGTCAACGAATGTAGGATCTTCACTGTTCTGAGCCTCCATATCTGCCACCTGAAGAACTCTGTCCGCACGCCGAGCAATGTTTGAGGCACCAGCAGCAATCTTTGGAGAGTCCCGAGCTCGGATCCCATCTTCAATTCTCTCAGTGTCTCGGAGGATGCCTTGCTCTGGAACCACAAACAGTTGACAAACATGTCATTGCAAGCTATATGAATAAACATATGATTTACACACACACACACAAACAAATATCGACCATTCAGATGGCAACAGGGACCATGGTAATACAATATCTGCTAAGCACACATCGATTCAATAAATATTTATGCCGAAGCTCCTAGAAGGTCGTCGTCGTTGTCGTCATCGTCATCGTCATCATCATCATCATCATCATCAACAACAAACAGTAAGTCCTTAAAAAAGCCTTGCTCTTCTCACAAGCCTCAAAGTTTGCCTTTCTCAGGCCAATTCTATAGCCCCATGTGCTTTCAGAGCCAATGCATCTTCAGTGTCTTATATCCATCTTCATGGAGAGCCCAATAGGTACAGACTGAAACCTTGGTAACATCCCCTTGGCTAGGTTCTGAAGCCCCATTCTGGACAAAGAAGAGACCGACTGCCACTCCCCCCTCCCCCCAACAAGCATGCCGTAATATGTGACTAATTAGGTGGTTGCCTTCAAAGTCAGAGTGCATCTGCCTGACAGGCAAGGAATCAACAGTTTGCATACAAATAAGTCAGATCTGTAAAACGAAAGTTCACGCAAAGCTCAAGTCCTTGAAAGAGATCAAAGTCCAGAAGTGGGCAAACAACCAGAACTTTTTACTGGAGTTTTCAGCCAGTGAACGCTAGAAGAAGAGCAACAAGAACAAGAACAAGAGCAAGAACAAGCCTACAGTGTGTGAGCTATTACGCCAAAACTATAATCTTCAGCATACAAGCATCAAGTTTATGTCAAGTGCAGTCACAAAGTACTCATTAAGTTGCCATCTCACCTTGTGCACGGATTAGTGCTTCTGAATCCACAGCTTCATCCACAAGTAGCCGAAGCCTGTCCATGTTATCCGACCACTGTTTCCTCAACAAGTCAAAGTGCTCCTGGGCTGCCTGGTTGTTTGGGTTTGAGAACAGCACCCTGGCTGCATTGATCACTTGAGGTGTTAGGTCTTTGATCTGTAAAGTAACATTAGATCTTTAATATGTAAAGTGTAGCAATGTCAGATCTTTGATCTGTAAAGTAACATTAGATCTTTAATATGTAAAGTGTAGCAATGTCAGATCTTTGATCTGTAAAGTAACATTAGATCTTTAATACTTAAAGTGTAGCAATGTCAGATCTTTGATCTGTAAAGTAACATTAGATCTTTAATATGTAAAGTGTAGCAATGTCAGATCTTTGATCTGTAAAGTAACATTAGATCTTTAATACTTAAAGTGTAGCAATGTCAGATCTTTGATCTGTAAAGTAACATTAGATCTTTGATCTGTAAAGTGTAGTAATGTTAGATCTTTGATCTGTAAGGTAACATATTGTCAGCTCTTTGATCTGTAAAGTGTAGTAATGTTAAATCTTTGATCTGTAAGGTAACGTAATGTCAGATCTTTGATCTGTAAAGTGTAGTAATGTTAGATCTTTCATTTGTAAAATAATATAATTTCAGATCTTTTATATGTAAATTAAAGCATTGTTAGATTTTTTATCTGTAAAGTTTGTTGGATCTTTGATATTTATATAATGTCAGTTCTTTGATCTGTAAAGTATTGTAGGATCTTTGATATATATATATATATATATATATATATATATATATATATATATATATATATATATATATATATATATATATATATATATATATATATATAATGTCAGATCTTTGATCTGTAAAGTAAAGTATGTTAGATTTTTAACCTGAACAGTAAAAGACAATTTTTAATGCCAGTGAGCTTTACAGTATTCAATTTAGCTGCTTTAGCCAAGTTTCTAATAATCAATTTAGCTGCTTTAGCCAAGTTTCTAATAATCAATTTAGCTGATATCATGTAAATCTTCTTCTTCTTGGCCTTCGCCAGCTGTAAACTCTGGCGGAAAGTTCTGGATGTTCGTCCACTTCCAGACGTTAGTCTTTTTTCCAGAACCTGACTGCTGCATGCACATCTGTTTATTTACATGCAGACTCTTGGTTCTTTGCCTCTTAGGCAGATGTACTCTGACTATGAAGGATGCCCCCAATGAGTCGATTCCTACAACATGCTTGTTGGGGAGGCAGTGGGTCTATTCTTGTTTCCCCCCACCATGGGGCCCCGCACACCCACACAGGGAATATCAAGTAAATAATAGTTGAGCCAACAAACAAGTTACACTGTCCGAAGTAAATCATAGTTGACAAAGAAAATCAAGCTACTTGGTTTAAAGTCAATGGGGGGAGGCAAATCAAATTCAAACTGTTTTGGTTAAGGTAGACGACACAAGGACACTTTCCACGCCTTCATGCGTACAGGGCATATAAGGCTAGACCTATATTTGACAAACCAAACTGGTACTCAGTGGGTGATGTGGTCAATACCACACCGTCCACCTTTACTTCCCAGGACTTTACCTGGTACCCATTTAAAAGCCAGAGTCGTTTTCAAAAAAACGTATGGTTCTATTTGGAATTAAACCCACAACCTTCAGACTCCCAGGTTAGAGTCTAGCCACTAAACCACGGCAGCTTCTAAAACAGATGACAGTTGGGAAAAAAACAAATCAAATTGCCTGGTTTGAGTTCTTGAAAATGGCTTCAACCGTGTGCTTGTTGGGGCAGCCGCCAGCGGTTGCCACAGAGTTGGCTGTGTCTGCCAGGCGGTTGGCGTGGTCCTGGAAATGACGCACTTTCCCCTCAAAGTTATCGTCACGACCCGGTGTGCCTGAAATTGTGACAATTTAAACAAAAGGTCACGACAAAAATAGCTTGACACAAAAATAAATCCACACAACACCGCTCCTTGAAACTGAAATATTTTGCCCACAATAAGTGTGATGGTAGATGGGGAAAAATAAGTAGCAGAGGGCATGATACAGGGAAAGAGGAGCAGGGGCTGACCAGCATGAAGCTGGCACAGGATATGAGTGACAACTTGAGTAGGAGGGTGCATGAGGCAGCACAGCTGTCGAAGGAATGAGTTTCGGGTGTGCTGTGGTAGGAGCATCTGCAACATGATGATGATGACACCACTGTTATTACTGGCTTGCATTTTACTTACTTACTTATTCACACGCATGTACACACACATACACGCATGCATGCACGCACACACTAGAGACATAGTATTAGAATGTATTGTCTACTCACTGAAAAAGATTAACCTGGAGGAGAAGAAGAAAAAGAAGAAGAGGAGGAAGAGCACAATGAAGAAGTTACAGGACGAGGAGGATAAAGATAAGAAGGAGAACAAGGTGGAGGGGGAAAGGGAAAGGGTTGGAAAAGGGAAAGGGTTGGAAAAGAGAAAGGAAAGGAGGATAAGAAAGAAGCAGAAGATAGGGGAGAAGAAAGAGAAGTAATGAGACAATGGAAGAATGTAGAGGAGGAGGTGAAGGAGGAGGAAAAATGAAGCTGAAGGAAGATGAGATGGGTGAGAAGACACAGAGGTAAACTTACCCAGAGGAACAACTGCTGCTTCACTCAACTGCTTCAGTGGGGTGTTCAAATCAATAAAATCTTCAGCAACCTGAACAATAATAACAGGACAACTATCAAACTATACTCTTCTTCTTATTCTTCTTTTTTTTTTTTTTACCTTAAAAAGGTAACTGGCACACTGTGAAGTGGTTTATGGATAAACTGTAATTTCTGCGCCTTTTGACCCAACACATATGATTTCAGAAAATCTTTAATTTGTCGCCTTTTTGCACACTTGTTGCGTGGAGGAGGGAAAGGGGGTGCCTTTAGCCCAAATTAGGCCTCCTGAACCCACATGGAAATCCCTAGGAATCTTCAAAATGCATACACTTGTAAAATGACAAACAGACTACGAAAAAGGAATTCACAATCTTCAGAGAATACAGGGATTGACTTCACTAACAGACTCACCATCTTCTTCAACAAAATCTTCTAGAAATATCAAATAGTTATGTCCGCCTGATAGAAAGAAATTATGAAAGGCACTGGCAAGGCTTCTTTTTTATCGTGTTCACAGGCTGCAAACTCTGGCAGAAAGTTCTGGGTGTTTGTCCACCTCTGGACTTATTCTAAAATCTGAGAGTCGAGAACACGTCAGTTTATCACATTTGGCTTATTTGTGTGCAGACTCTTCTTCTTCTTCTTCTTCTTCGTGCTCACCAGCTGTAAACTCCGGTGGAAAGTTCTGGTTGTTCGTCCACTTCTGGACTGCAGTCCTGTTCCAGAACCTGAGTGTTGCATGTGCATCCATTTTACAAATCTGACTTATCTGTATGCAGACTGCTGGTTCCTTGTCTCTCTGGCAGATGCATTCCGACTTCGAAGAAAGCTCCCAATTATTCGGCTCTTACGACATGCTTTTGGGTAGGCAGTGGGTCTGTTCTTGTTTTCCCTATCATAGGGCCCAGGAACCCACATGGGGTTGTGCAGACTCTTGATTCTCTGCCTCTCAGACGGATGTACTCCGACTTGGAAAGATGCCCTCAGTTAGTCGACTCCTGTCTGTTCTTCTTTTACACACAATGGGATCCCAGAACCCACACAGGAAGTTGGCAAGGCAAAGCAGATCTTTAAAATTTTAAAATCTGAATCTAAACAAAATAATGTAATGGGTATATAATGGTGCAGCAGGCAAAAGATGCTGGACTCAGATTTTTGCAAATCTGCAAACCAATTAGCACTTGAGGGGTGATGTGGTCAACATGATGCTGCTGCCTTTACTTCCCAGGAATTTACCATGTTAGGTTGGGTCGGCCTGGGAGCCAAGGACACTTCTGAAACAAATCTGACTCAATGTGGAACCAAACGTGTGACCTTCAGGTTTGCAGGCGAGTATATAGCTGCAATGGTACAGCAACTCTCTCCTTAATCATAAATCTTCTGTAAGTACACAATGCAGTGGTAACTCAGTGTACATCTGCTTTGTAATATATCCATTGTTCTATTTAGACATGAAAATTTTGCCTGGTGTGTGAGCATTGTTTAAAGTATGACTCAAGATAAGTCACTACACTGCACGCTACCCTCGCTTACAGCTCTAAAGACAAAGCCACAACTGCCTGTAACCGCCAGAACACTAGCTGCCACCCGTCAATAAACAACCCTTGCTATAAATCCCCATTTTCTCATGATTTTGTGTTTTTTAAATATATATTTTAAGTAAACTAATTAACCACGAGTTTTAAGAAAGTTAACTAAAAAATAAATACAATCATTAGGATCAACATGGAGGTGGGGGTAAAAAGAACAAAAACTCAAAGATGGAATGCGATATGCCAATAACTAAGGGTTTTCCTCTTGGCATGAATTAATCATTCTCCCTTTATTTCTTATGAGAAAATTGGTTTGGTACATTTCACATTTGGACATAAAAGTCCAGGATCTAAAAATGATTAAGAATGTATAACAAGCTACCACTGTAGTAAGTTCACCTGACTGAATGTCGTAATTGTAACCGACTCTGAAAGCATGCTGAGAATGGTGAAGACAGGGATGCTTCGAGCAGAGTGGCAAGCTTCACTGGAAAGATCATACTTTGGATCTTTTCTCCTGGTTATGCCGGCGTTGGTGGGTAATGAGCAGGCAGACAGATTGGCTGGATCTGCAGTACTCGGTGGTGAACTGATGCATGACAGGGCAGATTTTGTTAAGGCCCTTCAGGAATAAGCAACGGAATCAGTAGAAAAACAAGATTATTATGGCCTGGAGAGAATGAGGCACCTGAGTGTAACCAGAGGGTTTGGCCGACTCGCTACACTCAGAGGAAAGGCGAGACGGACCTATAACCAGATTGTGACCGGTACCATCAGTATTGGAACTCTGCGCTGGTTGCTGAAGATGAGGGTGAAGCATGCATGGGAATGCCCCGAGTGCTGTGATGTAAATTCTTGACTTAACTAACTAACTAACTAACCTGACTGAAAAAAATGATGACACGCAAAGTCAAGGCAACAGCAGCTTTCAAGAGCATGAACACAAAATGGAACTCTTAATTATACAGTTTAAAAACCAAGAACATATTTTTATTTCTCATGTTATCTCAGTTTCAACAAATGCCAGTGAAAGTTTGCGAACCACTAGACCTGGAAGAAAAGTTCAATGTGTTCCAAATAAGTGTCTAAGAAAACTGATGAACATTAATGAGATGAATTCAAGACAGCTGAAAAAAAAAAAGAGACCTTGTCTGGATAATCGCTTGTACTATCAGTTATACGATCTAAGAAAACTGATGAACATAAGTAAAGTAAATAAAGATCCCTTTTCCACACCTTTAGACATATAGGGCATATAAGGCTAGACCTACATGTTTAAAGACCAACCGGCACAAGATGGGTGATGTGGTCAGCATCACGCCCGGCCACCTCTATTTCCCAGGACTGCACCTGGTACCAGCTCAAAGCTGGGTCGACCTGGGAAGAACAGTCATTATTGAAAAAAGTCCAGCTCAACCAGTCAGCGAACATACGACCTTCAGATCCGCACGCGATCATCTTGCCGCTACGCCACGGCGACTCCCACTGATGAACATAAATACTTTAAATTCAAGACAGGTGAAGAAACAAGAGAGCCATCTGGACAATTGCTTGTACCATCAGTTAAATGACAACGAAGATGGCAATATATTGGGCAGATCCTAAGGAGAAATGGACAGGGTATCACCAATCAGGCACTGACAAAAACAAACAAACTGATCGAGAAAACAAGGGCATCCAAGAGAAACCACAAAAGAATGATGTTGAGAGAGGCCAAAAGTGCTGGTCTGGATTCCAATGATAATACTGGAAGAACTGCCCAGGATAGAATGGAATGGATGACAGACAACTGTGAGTCCTGTGTCACAGGTTATGGAACAACGGGAGGAGGATGGGGGAGGGAAGGAGAATGATGATGATGATGATTTTGATGATACTCACTTGATTGACCAAGGCATCTCGAATTTTGACCTTGAGAGAAGCCAACTTGTCATCCAGGTTCCGTGCAATAGCCTTGGCCTGGGGTCCATTTCCCTGCAACAGAAGATCAAATACGAAATCATTTGACCTAGTCAGTAGAAACTGACTACTGATTTCCTTGTAACCATTGGGCAGCCTTATAAATAACTTTGTTTCACAGCTAAACAGACATCAACAGCGACCAGGTCGCCCACTGGCTCGGGAGAGTATTTGGGTCTGTCTCTCTTGGTCGCATCAACATTGTAAGAGTCCTTTTCAGCTTTACAAGGATACTTAGAGGCGAGCAATGCTAAGCTATTTTACATGGCGCACAAAAACCTAGTCATAATTATAACCAAAAGCTTCCCACACACACCCTCCCCCCTCCCCTTTTCCCCATGCAAAGTCGAAAAGAGCAACGCAGATTGAAAGAGGTGAGGGCCAAAGACACAATAATAACGCAACGAGCAAAGTGTCTTCCGCCTTCTCTTACCTGGCCTCTCTTGCACAAATCTGACAGCTGATTGGTCAGAATCTCCACTTCATCACACAGTCTCAGCAGCTCCTGTCTCTGAGGGCCTGAGCAACAATTGGCAACCTTGCGGCCCTCGGCAACAACCAAACGTGTCGCAGCTTCTCCTGTAGACATACCAAATTAAGTTAAGTTAGTTGCGTATCCTTTACAGGACGTTGCAGAACCAACCCCAGCATCTTTTAGCTGTTGTGGTTTTTCTAGGTAAGTTTACGTTTTTTTTCTTTCTGGTCAGTCGGCTTCATGATACCACTGTCGAAAAACCAACTCAAGGTGCAAGGCCCGCAGCTGGGATCGAACCCAACAACCAGGCATTACAAAGTGTGTCTGCAATGCCTAGGCTACAGACTCCGATAGATAAATCAATGATCATCCAAATTATCTGTAGTTTATTAATATTAATTATATTATTATTATAATAAGATCAACAGAAGATAAATGTATTGCAGCCTTTCCGTGAGCACACAAGTCTCATGCTATCATTTTATCCTTGAAAAATATTAATTATATTATTATTATTATTGGCGCCCATAGCTTAGGGGTTGCGAGTCCGAATCATAATTCCAACATACCGCGATCGAAACCCACTGCTGGCTGCATGGATTTTTATCATGGTATGGGCCGTCGCAAGTCGACCCAGCCTAAAATGGGTACCAGGATGGCTGTCCTGGGGAAGTAAAGACAGCCGGCGTAATGCTGACCACATTACCACCTGGTGCCTGGTGGTCTGTAAAAATATTGGGCGCTCTTCCTATATACTCGATACGCCTAAAGGCGTGAAAAGGGATCTTCTTTTTATTTTATTATTATTATTATTGGGAGTCGCCGAGGCGTAGAGGCCAGACGCTCGCCTGCGGATTGGAAGGTCATGGGTTCTCTTCTTGGCCGATCTGGACTTTTTTCAAAAATGTCCTTGGCTCCCAGGTCGACCCAGCCTTGAGTGGGTACGGGGTGCAGTCCCGGGAAGTAAAGGCGGCCGGCATGATACTGATACCACATCACCCATCTTGTGCCAAATGGTCTAAAAAATATAGGTCCAGCAATATATGCCATATACGCTTAAAAGCATGGAAAAGGGTCCTCCAACACTGTACTTTCTACTGAAGCAAAGACACCTGCATTGGTTGGGATATGTCTCTCCCATGGAGGATGGTCGCATTCCAAAAGGATCTCCTGTATGGCGAACTGATAACTGGGATTAGGACTGCACGAAGGCCAAAGCTACGCTATTAGGACATATGCAAACGCGACCTGAAAGATATCCACATTGGCACAGGCACTTAGGTAGATCAGTTGCAGACCGATTCATGTGGATGCAGACAATGAAAGACAGTACTGTCACAGTCTGAAAGAGGCCAGGCACAACAAACTATACACAGAGAGAACCAGCCGCCAAATGACAGAGTATCAATGTTTTTATGTGGACTATGTGGCAGTCCTTAAGAAAAAGAATAGGGCCTTTTGAGCTGAAATGCTATAGAAAGATTCTCAGAATACCATGGACAAAGAAGAGGAGAAATACTGACATCTTTAAGATCTAAACATCAAGGAAGATTGGCTAATAAACAGCATCCTGTCTCAGAAGCTGAAATATTTTGATCATTTCAAGCGCCACGACAGACTGAAAAAAAAATAATAGCAGAAGGCATGGTACCAGGAAGGAGGGGCAGGGACCTGACCGACACGAAGATGGGCACAGAATATAAGTGACTCCTTGAATATGAAAGTACATGAGAAGGGAAGAGCTGCGAGAGACCGAGTTTCTTTCAGGCAGACCGCGATGAGAGTGACGTTCTGCAAAGTACCTCAGCAAACAGACGTTGTTTCCCAAACCAACAGCACAACTTTATGGTTCCCAGGAGCGGATGGCTGCCTATGACCCAATACCTCATCAATAAACTTATGGGTTACCAACTTCCCTGTGGGCACAAAACAACTGCCGCATTATTTGTGACCTATTAATATCAATAATATTTTTACAAACTCATCAATAAATTTACAGAGATAAATGCTGCAGTCACAAATACTGACATCTAAGTTAAGGAGCTGCAGAGCTAGATTTGATAAACTCCTCTCAAGAAAAATAATGGAGAAGATAAGGAAAAAGAGAGGTAGGAGAACAAATAAACCAACATTTATATCTCAGGGGTTACTAAATAAGCAAACTGTCCCACCTAAAATGTGATTCTTCCAGACACTCACCTATCATACATCAATAGCACTTTTATAATAACTGAGGACAGGGAGAAGAAAGATTAAAGAGAATAAAGAGGAAAAGAAGGTGAAAGAGAAAAGGGAGAAGAAAGAGGAAAAAGAGATGAAAGAGGAAAACGAGACGAACAAGGAAAATGTGATGAAAGAGAAAAGGAGATGAAAGAGGAAAAGGAGACAAAGAGGAAAAGAAGGTGAAAGAGGAAAAGGAAAAGCAAGAGGAAAAGGGATGCAAAAGGAAAAGGAGAGAAAAGAGGAAAAAGAAATGAAAGAGGAAAATGAGATGAAAGTGGAAAAGGAGATGAAAGAGAAAATGAGATGAAAGAGGACAAGGAGATAAAGGAGGACAAGGAGAAGGAGAAGCAGCAGAGTACTAATAGGGGTGAAAGAGGATGTGAATCTCATTATGCCTTATCTGCATTTCTCCCAGTGTGGGTTCCGGGGCCCCATTGTTGGGAAAACGAGTACAGATCCACTGCCTCCCTAACAAGCATATCCCATGAGTCGACTAATTAGGGGTTTCTTTTGAAGATGGAGCGCATCGATCTGAGAGGCAAGGAACCAACAGTCTGCATACAAATAAGTCAGATCTGTAAAATGAATGTGCACGCAACAATCATGTTATTTAACAAGTCTAAAGTCCAGAGATAAGTGAACAACCAAAACTTTCCGCCGGAGTTACAGACAGTGAATGCAAAGAAGACGAAGAAGAAGAAGATTTGTATTTCAACTCCAAAACTGACCCAAACACACACACAATAACCACCACTGACCAAGTCCTTTGTCATCCAAGCCAGGATTGGCCAGCCACTGACGAGCCTGCTCGACTTTACCATCTACCGTAGGTGCTGGCTTTCTGATCCCACTGCGCTCGGTATTGATGATGCCCTGGGCTGTCTGCGCTTGTAGCTCCTTCAGCTTGTCCTGGATGCTGCGAGCAAGAGCCAAAGCTTGAGAAGTGCTTCCCTGGGGAGTGATTTTAAAGAACACTGATTACAATGTACAGTCAGTAAAGACAGAGAATAATCAGCGACTAAAGAGTAGAGATAATGATTATAGAGTACAGCCAGTGATTACAGAGTAAAGCCAGTGATTACAGACTACAGCCAGTGACTGCATAGTCCAGTCAGTGATTACAGAGTACAGCCAGTGATTACAGAGTACAGCCAGTGATTACAGAGTACAGCCAGTGATTACAGAGTACAGCCAGTGATTACAGAGTACAGTCAGTGATTACAGAGTAAAGCCAGTGATTACAGACTACAGCCAGTGACTGCATAGTCCAGTCAGTGATTACAGAGTACAGCCAGTGATTACAGAGTACAGTCAGTGATTACAGAGTACAGCCAGTGATTACAGAGTACAGCCAGTGATTACAGAGTAAAGCCAGTGATTACAGACTACAGCCAGTGACTGCATAGTCCAGTCAGTGATTACAGAGTACAGCCAGTGATTACAAAGTACAGTCAGTGATTACAGACTACAGCCAGTGATTACAAAGTACAGTCAGTGATTACAGACTACAGCCAGTGACTGCATAGTACAGTCAGTGATTACAGACTACAGCCAGTGACTGCATAGTACAGTCAGTGATTACAGACTACAGCCAGTGATTACAAAAAACAGTCAGTGATTACAGACTACAGTCAGTGATTACAGAGTACAGTCAGTAATTACAGACTACAGCCAGTGACTGCATAGTACAGTTAGTGATTACAGAGTACAGCCAGTGATTACAGAGTACAGCCTGCGATTACACAGTACAGTCAGTTACAGTATAGCAGAGTCAATGATTACAGAGTACAGTTAATGATTACAGAGTGCAGCCAATGATTACATGTTAACAGTAGCTGATTAAGTGTAGATTTTTAAAGAGTAAAAGAGACCCTGGCACATAGACAGCTAGAGTGATTTTGATATACTCAGAACTAACATGAAATGATACCAAACCAAATGAAAAGAAGTATTAGTCAGCTCTATATTATCACAATCACAAATGGTCAGTGAACATTGTTGTGAACAGACAAGAACACACAAAATCAAAAAATAACTGAGGTATCTCCTAGAAAAATCCACATGTATGTCTCGCCAGCTGAAGCTCTGACACATGTGTGAACACAGGAAATAAGTACTAGCCAGAGAAAGCTGTGATAGGCAAGAGGTCGTAACTCAAAAGAATATTAGATAAAACTGTGTTGGATATTTAGTCCCTTAAACTCTGCCAGGCTGATGTACCGCTTCTGTGGTAATTTCCCAATCTGCCACTAAACTGCTGTAACTCACTATCTGTACTTTGCGTACTATTTGATAAAAAGCGTCACAAGCTAAAAATTGCCAACCAATCATGATCAAACCTTGTGGTTAGTTATTGCGAAAAGCCGCCTATGTGTGTTTGGATTTACTGTGTATGGTTTACGGGGAAAAAATTCTGAAAATTCACAATGAAACGAGTGACTGATGAACCAAGCACTTCGACAGGAAAGTGAAGTAGGTCTAGGCTTTTCACAGTCCAACAGGTGATCGATTCTTTGGTTGATTCAGACTCTGAGAAGTCAGAATTTCATGAAGAATACCTTCCCAGTTGAAGTAACACAGTCAGTGAGAGCTCGAGTGATGAGGAGAATCTTGAAAATCATAGATTCAAAACTAGACAGTAGTAAGAGACGGGGGCGTGTCCCTCAAACAGCAACATATGGTGTTCACTTTGTGAAAAAAAGGCTGATTCTACTGGGTGGATTGGCACACAAAGCTGGAATATTGGTGCTAAAAGAAAGGTAAACCTATTTTCTACAATGTCTCCTAGTTTCATCTTATTCTAACCACTTGTTTGTATGTAGCTAATATTTGTGTATATCATGTTGGTTTTTTTCGTGGTAATGCCCAGGAGCTCAGGTACAGGGGGCAGTTAGGTTCAGGGCCTCAGGTCTAGGAGGGTTAAGTGAGTCGCAGCCCATCAGATAGATAAGGCTGTTCTCAAGAGGCATGGGGACTTTGTCGTTGGAGTGGTCAAACTATAGAGATATTTTGCTTATAGATTTATAAAGATCTCAATGCTTACAGAGCTGTAGTAGAGATCCTACCACTTAGCCAAACTATGAAGCTCTCACCTTTCCTTGCTGTCTCAGTTCAGATAAGGCATTCACCATGCTCTCAATATCACTGGCACTGCGCAGGATGGCATCTCTATCTGCAGGGTTGGTGCACTTTTCAGCAATTTTCCTTGCATCCTCCAAAGTCTGACGGATGGCTTTATCTCCTGAACAGAGTAATAAGTGCAGCTACATTAGTGATACTGATTACTGATTTAACAATCATAATCAGTAATTAGTAGTACCAAGGGTCTTTCCAAAAACAACAACACATTAATGAAAGATGCCTTAGCTGCCCTCAACAACCAACAATACAGGACACGGGTGAGGAGTATTGTCTGGATTTTTTCCTGGGTTATGCCGGTGTGTCTGGAAATGAACAGGCGGACAGACTGGCTGGCTCTGCACAGTTTGGTGGAATACTGCTACATGATAGGGCAGACGTGGTTAGTGCCTTGTGAGAGAGCGTGTGCAATTCTGAGGAGCAGATGGATCACCACAGTCTGGTGAGATTGATGCAGCTGGGGGTGACGAGAGGTTCTGGCAGAAGCTTGAGGCTCAGAGGAAAGGCAAGACAGAATGCTACTGGCACCATTAGTATCGGAACTCTTTGCTGGCTGCTGAAGATGGGGACGGAGCGCTTATGGGAATGCCCCGAGTGCTGTGATGTCGGTTCTTGAATCAAATCAAATCAAATCAACAACCAACAAACACAGGGAGGGACCAACATTGGTTTGAGCACACAGAAAACATCAGTTTTTATGTACACCCAATATAAAGACTCTCAGTCCTATTTCTATATCAAAGGACAAGTCCTTTCGGCATTTCTACTGTCCCTCTCTGCATCTAAAACAACACTAGAGATCTTTCATTTTACTGAATATACAATTTTGCTGAATTTACAATTTTACTGAATATAAAATTTTTCTAAATATACTATTTTACTGAATATGCATGCCATTTTACTGAATATACCATTTTGCTGCAAAGTGCCACTTTTCAGTGATACAAAGACAAAGGTGCTATTTTAGCTTCTAAAAATTTCTTTATCCTTTTCTTCTTCTCCTTCATCTGATTTTTGTTTTTGTTTTGAATGTAATTATTATTCTACTTCTTAGTGTTCACTGGCTATTCCGCCCAATTCTCCACTTTAGACTTGTTTCAGAACAAAGTTTTGCATGCACATCCAGTTTACAGATCTGGCATACCTGTATACAGATTGTTGGTTCTTCGCCTCCCAAACAGATGAACTCAAGACTTTGAAGGGAACTCTCCTATTAGTCGCTTTGTATGGTAGGTAGGCAGTGGGACGGCTATTTTTTTCTGCCAGAATGTGGCACCGCAAACTTAAAGTCCATGCCATGTGGCGTTGGTAGTTATGTCTATCCACAACCTTCTGTCTCGTGTACTTTTATTCAATTCTGACATAGATAATCCTCCATGCTGTCCAGCATCCTATCTCTCGGTCTCCCTCTGCCTCTCCTCACCTCCAACTTACCTACGGTCATGATGAACTCCAGTTTTCTCCTTCTCATCACATGTGAACCTCCCTGGGAGGACGCAATAGAATTATGTCTGTTTACAGCATAGTTGCAGTGTTTGCAACCTTTCTACAAATAACTAGCCATGAGCAAATCTTCCATGCTGTTGAGTGTCGCTGCATCTCTGTTTATATTACCCCTTTGGACACTGAGCCTTTTTTGGAGTTTCACTGCCAAGAAGACGGAGCCTTCAGGAGGGGATTCTTATAATTTATACACACAAAATTTTAAAAAATAAAGTGTTGAATTAACATATATAAAACTATATATATTCGTGTAGGAAATTGAATGACTAACTGAAAACTGATGTAAAATTACAGGACACATCAAATTTTCTCGAAAGCCGTCAAGGAACAGCCCACATGTGCAAGAAATGAGAGAGCTGTCTGATTGGCTGGTATGAACACCAACCATCAGAAGAAACAGTTAAGAGAATACATCTTTATGGCAAACAAAGAAACAAAATCTTTAATGTTCAGTTCAATCTTTAAGGCAAATAAAGAAGAAAATGTAAACATCTTTATGGTGAACAGGAAAGAAAATAAACGAGAGGAATTTTTTTAATCTTCAGGATGAATAAGGAAGAAATAAAGGAGAAGAAAATAATGAAATCTCAAGTGTGAACAACAAAGAAAATAATCTTCAAGATGAATAAGGAAGAAAATAAAGAAACCTTTAGAGTGAGAAAGGAAACAAATAAAGATGAGAATACAGAAGACTCAGAGTTAACAAGGAAGAAAATAATTAAATCAGCATAGTAGAATGAAACCATCACAATGAATAAGGAGGAAAATTAAGAAATATTTAGCATGAAGAAAGAAGAAAATAAAGAAATCCTCAGGTGTTTAAACAAATCTTTAGGATGAATGAGGAAGACAGTAATCTTTCGGATGAATAAGGACGAAAATGAGAAATGTTCAGAGTGAACGAGAAATGAGTAAAGAAATTTTGAGGAGAGTAACTTACCAAGGCTTCCAACCAAAGCTGCTGGGTCAGTTAGCCAATCATGTGCTGACTTCATCCTGCTGTCGATTGCATTCTGCAAAGATAATCACAAGTGTTGTATGTCAGCAAAAGCGAACAATACTGAAGTTAAATGTTGGTTGTGCATCCATTACAGACACCACAAGCCAACCCTGGCATTTAATTGCTGCTTGTGATTTTACTAGCAAGTTCACGTTCAGGTTGGCCACTGCTTTCTTAATGGCTGCCTGGCAGATGATTGCGCTCAAAGGTGTGAGGGGAACTTCAGGCGGTTGTGATGTTATAAGGAGATACTTTGTATCTCACCTTCGGAGCCAGCCGGGTCTGTGCTTGTTTTTCCTTTTTTTAGATTTCCCAGCAAGACTCCTGCCACACGTCCTCATCGTGCACTAGGGATGATGGCTTATATCTGCCTAGACAGAGCTGGGAGGGGAGTCTTGAGTTGGTGGCCCCCAGAGATGAAGTGCTCAGAAATCTTGTGGCACTCGTCCGCTGTATTGCCTGTACATGGGTCATAACATACATGAAAAACTAGTTTAGTAAACTCGAGTGGATCAGTCATGGTTATGATGGTTTGGACATGTATGCAGAATGGGAGAAAATCAGCCACCATGGCAGGCATGAGAGGCTGAGAACCAGAGAACTTTACACCCCAAGGTAAAAGAGGAGCCACTAAATAAGTAACAATTAGTTTGAAACATGAGTGAAATCCACTGGCTGAGTACACTACTAAATGACAAATGCGGGTTCACATGTCTGTTGTTCAAAAGTAAACTAAACGACAAACCCTTGGTTCAAATGTCTGACAAACAAGACACCTACTATGCGGCTGTTTAGGTTCAAATATCCATCCATCATGTGTCCTACCGTATGACAGCAATGGTTCAGTTGTCCCTAGCTCAACGATCCAACTTTATGACACACAAGATCAAACGTCCACTAACAATAGCCAGACAGAGTATAACTGCCATAGCTGATAAATACTTTCCATTGATGCCGCAAAAAGTGTCCGTAACATTATCGTGAAAGGTGCTACTGATAAAGAGAGAACATGCTGAGAAAGTGAGATGCCAATTTGTGCAGGGAATTGAAATCTCCGGTCTGCAGACCACTTCCAGGGGATCCCTAAAGGGTGCATCCCGTAATGAGTGGAAGGCTCAGTATATGGATGTGAGATTAACAACTGTGTACAGGACATGATGATTCCTTGGGTGAGCCCAGGACCAGAGCAGCAAACAAAGAAGAAGATGAAGACAAAGACGGCAAAGAGATGAAGAAGATGAAGAAGGAGGAAGAAAAATAGAAAGACAAGGAGGAGGAAGAAAAAGAAGGAGGAGAAGGATGAGTGGAAGAAATAGAAATCTACTGACATCCCATTTACCTGAGCTTTCTTCATGACGGTCAAATCATCAGCATCCCACTCTTCCTCATCATAGGTGGTCAACTGCAGGACACGGATGATCTCGTTGATCTCATCCGACATTTTTCTCACTGTGTAGTCACGGTTGTTCTGGGCTTCCTTGATTCCTTGACCTGAGGGGGATTGGCAGGAATGAGTGAATTTGGAGTGAATGAGTGAGTTTGAGAGAGAATGAGTGATTGAGTGAGTGAGTTTGTGAGTGAGTGAGTTTGTTGGTGAGTGAGTTTGTGAGTAAGTCAGTCAGTCAGTCAGTGAAATAATCTGTGGTTGAGTGTGTGACTGAAATAATTAGTGTGTGAGTTAGTTGTGAGTTTGTAAGTGAGTGAGTTTGTAAGTGAGTGAGTGAGTGAGTGAGTGAGTGAGTGAGTGAGTGAGTGAGTGAGTGAGTGAGTGAGTGAGTGAGTGAGTGAGTGAGTGAGTGAGTGAGTGAGTGAGTGAGTGAGTGAGTGAGTGAGTGAGTGAGTGAGTGAGTGAGTGAGTGAGTGAGTGAGTGAGTGAGTGAGTGAGTGAGTGAGTGAGTGAGTGAGTGAGTGAGTGAGTGAGTGAGTGAGTGAGTGAGTGAGTGAGTGAGTGAGTGAGTGAGTGGGGGTGGGTGAGTAAGTTTATTTATGCATGAATATATTAAATAAATGAGGTTATGTATGTTTCGATGGGTTTGAGAGGGAAGCCTCTGCTGTATGGAAACCCAAAGGACACAGAAAGCAGTCTTCAAATTGAGATGTGGTTGGCTGACAGTGATAAACTGTTCATAATGACTGGTTGGCAGAGCTGAAGCGTTTTAAACTAATACCTGATTGGCTGGTAGTGTTGAAGTGTCCAAACTAATACCCATTGGCTGGTAGTAACGAAAGTGTTCAAACTAATACCTGTTGGCTGGTAGTAACGAAAGTGTTCAAACTAATACCCATTGGCTGGTAGTAACGAAAGTGTTCAAACTAATACCTGTTGGCTGGTCATGTTGAAGTGTTCAATGCTGGTCGTGTTGAAGTGTTCAATGCTGGTCATGTTGAAGTGTTCACACTAACACTTGATTGGTTGGTAGTGATAAAGGTGTACAACTAATAACTGATTGGCTGGCTGTGATGAATATTTAAACTAATATCTGATCAGTTAGCAGAATTGTTGTTCAAACTAATACCTGATTGGCTGGCAGTGTTCAAACTAATACCTGATTGGCTGGCAGTGATGAATGTTTAAACTAATACCTGATCAGTTGGCAGAGATTAAGTGTGGGTGGAGATAGAGAAGCCTCTCCTCTATGGAAATGCAAAGACACATGAAGAGAAGCTAAAGCTGTCTTCAAATTTATACGTGGTTGGCCGGCAGTGATAATGTGTGGGTGGAGATAGGGAAGCCTCTCCTCTATGGAAACCCAAAGACACATGAAGAGAAGCTGAAGCTGTCTTCAAATTTATATGTGGTTGGCTGGCAGTGATAATGTGTGGGTGGAGATAGGGAAGCCTCTCCTCTATGGAAACCCAAAGACACATGAAGAGAAGCTGAAGCTGTCTTCAAATGTATATGTGGTTGGCCAGCAGTGATAAAGTGTTTATAATGATTGGTTGGCAGAGTTGAAGTGTTCAAACAAATACTGGACTGGCTTTCAATGTTGAAGTGTTCCAATTAAAATGTGATTGGCTGGCAGTGTTGAAGCGTTTAATAAAACCTGATTGGCTGGTAGATCTGAAGTGTTCAGACTAATCCCTGATTGGTTAACAGTGTTGAAGCATTCAAACTAATACCTGATTGGCTGGCAGAGCTGAAGTGTTTAAACTAACATCTGACTGGCTGGTGGTGTTAAAGGGTTCAAACTAATACCAGACTGGCTGGCAGTAACAAAGTGTTAAAATGAATACCTGATTGGCTGGCAGTGATGAATATCTTGATGCCACTGATGAGTACTGGGGTCAGGACCTTGACCTGCTCCAAAGACCTGACCAACATATCCCTATGCACTTGATGGGTTAGTTCCTTCTCTCGATTGTCCACTTCTTTAGTCATTCTTGTTAACACTGGACTCAGATTCTGAAAGAAGTTAGAGTGAGAATTAAAGAAAGATATCAAGCTTTATTTTTTTCTAGGGCTGAAATTTAAAGACGCAAATGTGTTGGCAACAAACTGGGTTTGCTTTCTGAAGTTTTAAGCTGAGAGAATCGACTTAACTTATCTCATATGGCTTGACCTCTCTCTGCAGAACAGCCAGCTGCCTACTAAGAGTGCAGCATGAAGTACAAACATCACAGATCAGTGGTGATCACCATGGATATCCATAAATATTGCAATGGTGAACTAAAAGAGGCAGTCCACGAAAAAACCCAGAACCTTCAGAGCCTGAAGTAAATAGTGTCACCACTTAGCAACAAGGGAACACTTCTATGTCAAGTAAGTATGAGGGTGCTTCAGCAACAAACAAACAAAACCTGAAAAGTGTGACAGAAATTACAATAACCAAGCCATTCTTAACCTGACAATATTGTTGTTAAGGAAGTCAAGAGTGTAATCGAGTGTCATCACAGAGCAGAGGAACATGGCAATGTAAAAAAAAATGACAGTTTAAAGATGGCCATCCCATTTCTGACATGCTTCAAAGAGGAGCAGCATTCTGTTATCCGGTTATTTTTTTTTCCTTCTTTGTTCAACGGTTGTAAGCTCAGGCAGAAAGTTCTGGTTGTTCGTCCATATGAACTTTGGCTTTGTGCCAGGGATTGGGTTTTGCGTGCACATCCGTTTTACTGGCTTATTTGTGTGCAGTTGGTTGTTCCTTGCCACTCGAGCAGATGCACCCCAACTTCAATGAAAATCCCCAATAAGTCAGCTCCTATGACATGCTTGTTGGGGAGACAGTGGGTCTATTCTTGTTTTCTTAGAACCCACATAGGGAGGTTTTTTTTTTAATCAGTAGAGTGGTGAAATCTAGAGAAATTCACTGGTGAATGAAGGTATAGTAAGACGAAACAGTTTCAAAATGACCTGACCTCTGGGACATACAGTACTCGGTGTGCCCGACCCAGCTGTCACAGAAGTCATGTCGTCACTTGCTGGACTGACAGGCATGTGTCGTGGTACTGTACCTTCATTTGCCAAATAATTTCTATAGGTTTCTTCTTCACTGATGAAAAAAAATGGACAACAGAATGCTGCTCCTCTTTGGTGCATGTGAAAAGTGTGGTGGTCATCTTTAAAATGTCATTATGATGTTACAGTAATAATCTGCTTCGTGACGTCAGATGCTAACACTCTTGATATAAAAACAATACTGACAGGTTACAAGACGACGGCATGGTTATTTTAATTTCCGTGACAGATAATACCATTTTCATTTGAAGCTGTCTTGTAAATACAGGAGCCTTTTCGTGACTTTAGCACACTCGGCATATGATGATATACTCACATCACACAGATCAATGGGCACTAGATCAGAAATGTGGCCAAAATCACGCCGGCACTTTACTTCTCAAGTCGTGACATGGTACTCCTTTTAGACTGGGCTGAACTGATTGCATAGGGCATTTGTGAAATAAATTATTCAATGCAGATTCAAAGACATTCTGGGCGATAGGTAAGCATCTGGTCACTAAGCCGTGATTTATTTATGATCATCATTATCAAAAATCACTTCTATCATGGGGACTCGAGCCAAGAATTGACATCACAGCACTGGAGGCATTCCCATGCGTGCTCTGACCTCATCTTACCTAGTCAGCTCAGAGTTCCAATACTGATGGTACCAGTCACAATCTGGTTATATGTCCGTCTTGCTTTTCCTCTGAGTGTAGTGAGCCAGCCAGACCCTCTGGTTACACCCAGATGTCTCATTCTCTCCAGGCCATAATAATCTTCTTTCTCTACTGATTCTGTTGCTTGTTCCCAAAGGGTCTTGACCACATCTGCCTTGTCAGGTATCAATTCACCACTCAGTGGTGCAGGTGTAGCCAGTCTGTCTGCCTGTTCATTACCCACCACACCGGTATAGCCTGGAGAAAAGATCCAAAGTATGCTCACTACCAGAGCTTGCCACTCTGCCCGAAGCATCCCTGTCTTCACCTTTCTCAGCATGCTTTCAAAGTCTGTTACAATTATGACATGTGTATGCTTAACTCAGCTCTTTTATAAACCCAATCAAAAATATGTTTCTACAACTCTTCTTCTTCTTCTTCTTCTTCTTCTTACTGTTCACCAGCTGTAAACTCCAATGGAAAGTCCTGTTTGTTTGCCCACTTCCGGACTGTGGCTTTGTTCCAGAACTTGAGTTGTGCAGCACATCCATTTCAGAGATCTAGCTTATTTGTATGCAGACTGCTGGTCCCTCGTCTTGCAGGCCGAGGCATTCTGACCTTAAAGGGGGAAAGTCCTAATTAGTCATATTTTACGACAGTGGTTGTTAGGGAGGCAGTGGTTCTATTCTTGTTCACTCAAAATGGTGCCCTAGAACCCATACGGACAAAAAAAGGAAGGGGGAGACAATCAAATACAAAGGATTTGTAGAGAGTTGTACCGATAACAAATTTTTTTTTAAAACAAAACACACAAAAAAAGAAGAAAATAAGAAACAGAGAAGAGTGAAGTAGGCCACTTTGAAAGACTTTACACTTTTATAAAAATCATAATGGAGGGCAAAGATGAATGGTGGCAAATAAGAAATAGATAAGTGATTTCAGTGGAAAGACAACATCATGAAATAGACAAACAGCACTCTGAGAAAGGGTACAATTAATAAAAGAAACAGAGTGTGTTAGGGATGCATTGCAGCCAACATTCATTACATAGTCAGCACCAAATCCACTGTGTTATAGAGACTGATCACCTTTCAGTGTACAGACAGATTTATCATATGTGAAATAATTCACCTTGACAAATGTAACCAAATCATCCATTCTGTCCACAACTTCTGTAATTGCCAGGTACTCCAAGACATTCTTGCACATGCGAATAATTTTCCGCACTTCGGATTCATCAAACGCCAGCAGCAATGCAGATGTACCCTGAAGAATACCTGAAGAAAACAGTCAAGATATTTAACTTATAATCAAGTACAATCATAAATAATTAGGGACAAATATCCTAGAAGTCCTGACCACATCTGGGACCTAACTACAATAAATTACACATGTGTGAACTAATTATAATAGACTATACCTATATTTGTGACCTAACTAGAACAGACATCAGCTATATTTGTGTCTGAACTACAACAGACATCAGCTATATTTGTGTCTGAACTACAACAGACATCAGCTATATTTGTGTCCGAACTACAACAGACATCAGCTATATTTGTGACCTAACTAGAACAGACATCAGCTATATTTGTGACCTAACTAGAACAGACATCAGCTATATTTGTGTCCGAACTACAATAGACCAGCTATATTTGTAAACTAGCTACAACAGACTACAGCTATATGTGTGACCTAATTACAATAGACTAAACTGGTGTTCTGACAAGCTAAAACTATGGTCAACCATATCCGATAACATACATAATCTAGCTGCTGTCTGTTTCCCCCCTTCCATTCCCCCTCTCTCTCTACCCTCTGTCTATCCCTTCTCTCTCTCCTCTCTCCCCCCTCCCCCTTCTCTCTCTCTCTCTCTCTCTCTCTCTGCCCCTGTCCATCTATCTCAAAACCAAATTATCCCTCAATTCCTCTCTAAAAACCATGTTATCTTGATTTCTCTCTCCCTCATTCTCTCTCACACATGCCCACATAAATAAAATCCCTCCGGCCCTATTAACTCCTCAAAAACCACAAATCTACACAAACAAACCTCTTGATCCTTCAATAAGCTTCTTCCTAGCAGGCCCAGAAAAAGGATCAGTCCTCAGCATTGCCGAAGCATCCAGAAGAAACAGTGATGACTCCTCCACTCGTTTCAGCGCCGGAGGCATGTCTTGTTTCAGGATCTGATCCTCACTGCTATTGATTGTCTCATAGCCCACCTGAAGCAGATCAATAGCGTTACCGAAAGTAAATCAACAGGTTTTTGTTTTAAAAAGAAGAAAAAAATGACCCAAAAGACCAAGCTAAAGTGGTTAAAATCCTAGCAAATTAATCCAGCAGTGGTTCTCAAATATGTGGAGGTGATTGGTTCTATGCTTACACTTTGATTTAAAAATAGAGCTGGTTGATGTTGAGCTCATAGTGAAAAATAGGTTATGAGCATGCACGAAATGAGCATGCACAAGCAACTACTGGCCTTCTCGTGGTGGAGTTGTTTAACTAACAGGAGAAGGGGGAAAGAGAATCTCTGGTACAAGACGCTTCGGGCAGATGAGGCTCGTCAGTAAATGTGGTGGAGATGTTTAAACTAACAGGAGGAGGATGAAAGAGGGTCTCTGGCACAAGATGCTTTGGGTAGATGAGGCTCGTCAGTACTCGTGGTGGAGATGTTTAAACTAACAGGAGAAGGGCGAAAGAGGGTCTCTGGTACCAGACGCTTCGGGTAGATGAGGCTCGTCAGTACTCGTGGTGGAGATGTTTAAACTAACAGGAGAAGGGCGAAAGAGGGTCTCTGGCACCAGAAGTTTCAGGAAGATGAGGCTCGTCAGTAGGGGAGTTTGTCAGCTAGGAGAAGAAAACTGACTTCAAACCTCCACTACCTTCTGGCCATACCCTACCTTGGGAAAGCGCTTCGTGAGCAAACCCTAAACAATCCCTAAGGCTGTTCAGCACTGTTTACAGTGCTATTTCGGCAGTTGCTGCAACATCCTTGGTGCCAAGTGTACTGGCTTGTGCCTTTCTCTTGGTATCATTTGCAATGAAGAGGGGGGATACCTACTGCCTGGGCAACAGTCTGTACTTTAAATCAAAATGCCCAGGCCTGTGCCCTGGAGAGGTCACTCCAGCAGTGCTCAACAACTTCAGCACAACACACCCACACAACACACCCATACACACACACACATATATATATATGCTGTAGCGTGTAGGAAAAACATTCAGCTGTCAGTCTAAAATTCAAACGTGCTTTTTTAAATGGCCTTGGCACGCAGGTTGGCCCAGGTACTGGCTACCAGGTAAAGTCCTGGGAAGAAAAGGCAGCCGCTAATGCTGACCACATCACCCAACAAATGCTGACAGGTCCACACAAGTACCAGAATACTTTTACTGGTGTGAAGAAAAAGCTTGACCAACTTAAGGCCCCGAGTGACTTTTTCCAGTCTGCCAAAAGTGGAAGCAAGGAAAATGGACTATAAGGATTCACTACAGGCACGGAAAACATCAAATGGGATTAGATGGTTAATTCGTGGAACCGAATGACTAACCTTAACAAATACGATTAAGTGGATTAACTTATAAGATGGAGAAACTGATTAAAGAAAAAAGTAAAGGACCCTTTTCCATGCCTTTAGGCGTATAGGGCATATAGGGCTAGACCTATATTTTTAAAGACTAAAGGGCATAAGATGGCTGATGTGGTCAGCATCACGCCGGCTGCCTTTGCTTTCTGGGACTGCACAGTTTTTGTTGTTGTTTTTTTTTAATCCATCACTGCATAGGCAGTGGAATTTGTTCTATTTCTACCAGCTGTAAACTCCTGCAAAAGTCTCTGATTGTTCCTCTACTCCTGGACTCTGTGATCTTTTCTTTCGTGTTTGCAGGTTGTAAACTCTGGTGGAAAGTTCTGGTTGTTCGTCCACCAAAAGACTTTAGCCTTGCTCCAGAACTTGAGTGCATCATGCGTGCACATCTGTTTTACAGATCTGACTTATTAGTATGCAGACTGTTGGTTCAGTTCCTCTCAAGTAGATGCACTCCAACTTCAAACAGGCCCAAAATTAGTCTCTTACAACATTCTTTGGGGGGGGGGGGGGGGGAATGGGGAAAGGTTAGTTAAGAGTTAACAGGGTGTGAGAAACATTGTAGTTAATTTGACATAGAGAAAAACAAACAGCAAGCTGAAATAGAACAAAATAAAACAAAAATAGAAAAGGAATGTTTGTAAAATTACACTTGGCATTGTGCTAATTAATTACTGAAAGGAGTGGTGCATTATTTTGATGAAATTAGGGACAAGAGTGACTGCTCTCAAGATATTTTTAGATGAGTGGCAGGAGATTTCAATGCGAAAGTACATGTTGTAGATTACTAGTTATTACTGGCTCTTAGGGGGCCTACATGGTCTCAAGGCACGGTGTCTGCCTCGAGTGCTAGAGGTTCCAGGTTCAATCACAGGTAAGGGATGGGATTTTGGTCTCTGGGTAGTGAGATCAGACGCCTGTCTGCATTGTTGCGCAGGTGAAAAATCCATTGCCATTTGGAAGTTGCTAAGAGTAGCCTAACGGCGCTGTTGTTGCAAAATTTGGAAGTTAAAAATCTACCAAAAGTATTTCAGGATTCCAGTGCTACAGAGCATGTGCACTCTGCAGAGCTTCTTCGGATTTGAGTTAGAAGAAGAATGGAGCACTTATGGGTTACACCGAGTGCCATGATGTTGATCCATTGCTCAAAACCTCAAACTGGCTTTTATTCTCTAAGGTCTGTGAGGAGCCCATACTTTCTGAAGTCATACTGAAGAACGTATTTGTCCATTTAAACTCTGGCTTTGTGCCAGGGCCTGAGTTTTTGCATGTACATCCGATTTACTTTCTTATCTGTGTGTAACTGGTTGTTCCTTGCTGCTCAGGCAAATACAACCAGACTTCGAAGAAAGCTCCCAATTTGTCCACTCTTACAACATGCTTGCTGGGTAGGCAGTGGGTCTGTTTTTATCTTCCCCCCCCCCCCCCCCCCCCCCCCACACACAACTGGGTCCTAGAACCAACGCGAGGAGCTCGTCTTACAAATTATATATATATTTTATAAATGCAAAAAGAACTGCATTTTAAAACAGTTTCATTCTTCCTGAGGGGGGGGTGAAAGGGGGGGGGGGGGGTACTAATACCAGAGGCCGTTTAAATTTGTTCCACTTTTTCCATGTGTGGGTTCTGTGTAGGCCAACAGCAACCTTCTCCTCCCTTCCCTAACAAACATGTCCTACGTTGCGACTAATCAGGAATGTTTCCTTCAAATTTGGAGTGCATCTGCATGAGAAGTGAGAAACTTAACTCCTCGTGACTCCTTATAGGACAGTATTAGCTGGAAAGAAGGAAAGGTTAGGTTCACGTTAATCTCCCCAAATAGAGTAGGTCACTTGTCACTCACAAGTTTGTTGGGCTGGTCGACTTTCCTGAAGGTTACGGGTGTGTCCAGCTCTGTTGTTTGCTTTCAGTGATGTCTTGCATTTACGATTTTATTCCAAAAAAGAAAATGCTTGTGACATAGGTTGCAGCACTCTCTAGGGGAGTTGTGTTAGACCCAGTTTCTCCTTGTTTTTTGGAGTGTTAAAAGCGCTGGTGTGTTGAAATAGACAACACGCAATATCAATGGCATTGAATAACACCCCCAGTAACCTTGTGCCAAGGTGACAGGTTCAGGAACTACCAATCAGAAGTGAGCTGGTGTGCACATGGGTATGGCGTGGGGAGATCAACATTACTTTTACCTAAGGAAAGATGCCAACAATCCAGGCAAAACGAATGGTTAAACAAAGAAAGGGAAACAACAATTAATCTTAAGTTTTCAAACAGTTACAGAATAAACACTTACTTTGACCAGGTTGTCCACAGCCAACTTGACCACCCTAATCGGCTGAGCCAGATCAGGCATGGCGTTTCCATCTTCCGCATCCTCATGAAGAATCACCAACCGGGACACCTGGAGAAACAAGTCAGATAATAACTAACCATCACCGTGTTTTCTTTGTCTTCTTTGGCATTCAAAGCTCTTGAGATTCACTGCCGCAGATATCACCCAAGACCGTCTCCATCTGACGGGCCGTGTTGCTGACATCATAAAAACCGGGCTAATGATAGGCGGTTTTTTTTTTTTGGGGGGGGGGGGGGGGTGTTTGCAGGCTAGAAATTTTTTACTGTATGCTTCTATGTTGTAATATTGTGTGTGACTATATTTGTGTTTCATTCTAAAGCTTATTCTTATAATTTGTGTAGGGGACGGCAGGGAACACACCAAAACAACGGGTTTGTCAGAGTGAAAACTTAACCTATCATTAGCCCGGCTTGGTGACGTCAGCAGCATGGCCCGTCAGATGGCGACGGTCTTTATCATTGACACTATCACCCACGGTCTGGTATCATTGGTACTATCACCCAATGTCTTGTATCATCGATACTATCACCCATGGTCTGGTATCATTGGTACTATCACCCAATGTCTTGTATCATCGATACTATCACCCACGGTCTGGTATCATTGGTACTATCACCCAATGTCTTGTATCATTGAAACTATCACCCACGGTCTTGTATCATTGATGCTATCACCCACGGTCTTGTATCATTGATACTATCACCCACCTCCAGTCATCTCTGGCATTCTTTTTCCAGTTGGTGACTGCCTGTGTTTGCAGGTATGCGCTGCATATTATCTCTCCAGTCTTATTTGGTCTGCCTCTTTGTCTACTCCCGTTCAACTTTTCTGTGTACTCGTTTTCCGCCTCTCTGTAAAATCATCATCACATAATCACCAGAACCACAGATCAGGTCTGCATTCTCGACGAGCTGAGTTGAGTTGAGTCCAGAACTGACATCACTGCACTCGGGGCACTCCCATGCATGCTCCGTCCTCATCTTCAGCAGCCAGCGCAGAGTTCCAATACTAATGGTACTGGTCACAATCTGGTTATATGTCCGTCTTGCCTTTCCTCTGAGTGTAGTGAGCCGGCCAGACCCTCATTCTCCAGGCCATAATACTCTTGTTTCTCTACTGATTCCGTTGCTTGGTCCCAAAGGGTTGCATTCTCGTTGTGAGCTTGCAGTGCATTGTAAACCAACTTACTGGCAGACAGCAAAACAGGCATAGAATAAATTAGCTTTTCTCAAAAATTTCTTAGTCGCTGCGCCTTTTTTCAATTAAAATTTTTCCGCGACGCCCTAACCTAAATAAAAGTATGACTATCTGTATGTAAGAGATAAAAAAAAATTAAACTAGTGTTTCTTCACAGCGCCACCATGAAGAGGTCGTGGCTCCCTGGGGCGCGCGGTGTACAGTTTGGGAATCACTGGAATAATTTGTTGCACAAAAATTATTGAGGTGTGGACAGACTGGTCACAGAGTGGATCCGTGTGAGGGCGGCGAAGGTCCCGGCCGATACTCAGCACTTAGAGCAAGGCAGGGAGCACTTATGGGAATGTCCAGAATGGCTCCGATATCCGCTCTTAACCTAACTCAGTACAGACACTTTTCACAGCACACAGAAAACTGACAGACAGACAGTTCGCGGCACAGTGAAGACAGAGAAACACAGAATTCGCCACAATATGAGGAAGGAAAATCAGACTGCAGTACTTTTAACCACACCAGATCAGATCAGGAATGTGGTCATACGAGATAAGGTCTGCACAGAACTAATTCTAAATTACATAGAGAGAAACCAAATCAAATGGTCTGCCCACTTAGAGAGAATGCCTTCTGATGCTATACCATTCAAGGCATATACCAAAAAGAGGAGAGGAACGTTGAGCAAGAGGTAGACCAAGAACAACATGTAAGGATAACATCAGAGAAACTCTACAGTACAAAGGTGTGTCTTTGGTCGAAGCAGTCAGGAGAACACGAAGCAGGACCTTACATCTCCCTCGACATTCGAAGCGGTAGAAGAGGACGTGAAGAAGAAGAAGAGGAAGAAGAACTTTGAAAACATAAATCTAAAATGACATAGGGATACCATGGGTAGAAAAGCAACAGACCAGCGGCATTCTCTAGTGAGTGCCTTATGAGTCAACAGACACAAGAAGAGGAACATACTTTATTAGTTATTTTTTCAACTGTTCTCGGGCCTTAAAAGGATTATCGAGTGCTGCGTGGTCTCGAGGCATGGCGTCCGCCTCGAGTGCTGTAGGTCCGGGGTTCAAGCCCCGGCGAAGGCTAGGATTATTTCACGTGGACTTCTAGTAATATTCCCTGGTCTCTGGGTAGTAAGATCGGAAGCCCGTGTGTATTGTTGAGCACGTACAAAATTCCCTTGGCAGTTGTAAATTGAAAAAGAGCAGCATAATGGCACTGCCAAGTCAAAATTTGGAGTTAAAAATCTACCCAGAGTATTTCAGGATCTTCGCCGGTGCTACGGAGTTTGTGCACTGCGCTGAGATTCTTTGTACTCAGGCTTGAGTCAGAAGTAGAAAGGAGCACTTATGAGTTACTACCCTTGTGCCATGATGTCAATACATCGCCTAAACCTAAACAGCGGTATTAATTTGACTCCTTGAGCGATCTCTGGTCATGCGCATAATCTACTGTGGGTCATAAACTGGGATGTCATCTCAAGGTCTCTTAGGTCTCCCCAAAGCTTAGTTGTCAGGTCTACTGGGTGTTGCCATATGTTGCTCCGCAGCTCGACCAAGAGAAGACAGTCTTGCAGGACATGATCTGGAGTCTGTTCAGCACAAAGACACTGGCAGAGAGCTGTTTGGCTCACACATAATTTATATGAGTGTTTATTGAGTCGGCAGTGTCCAGTACGTAAGCGAAAAACTGTGACTTGGTCTGTTCTGTTCAGGTGTTTCAGAAAATCTTTTTCGTAGTTATATTAATTTGACAATAACAACGAAATACTCTGTTAAGTAGAAGACACAGATTACAAACAGCAGATTCATACCAACACTGCTTCAAGAGCTTCTTCTTCTTTGTTTACTGACTGTGAACTCCAGAGAAAGCTCCCAGTAGTTCGTCCATTTAAAACTAAAAAGTAAAGGACCCTTATCTACGCCTTTAGACGTATAGGGCATATAGGGCTAGACCTATATTTTATAGACCAAGGCACAAGATGGATGATGTGGTCAGCATCACACCGGCCGCCTCTACTTCGTGGGACTGCACCCGGTATCCACTCAAGGCTGAGTCGACCCCGGAGCCAACGTCATTTTTAAGAAGAAGAAAAAAAGTCCGATCCGCAGTGCGCGTCTAGCCGCTTCGCCACGGCGACTTCATTCATTTAGACTTTTGTCTTTTAACTGGACCTAAGTTTTGCGTATACATCCGTTTTACTGGCTTATTTGTTCCCTCACCGGCAGATGTACTCCGACTTCGAGGGAAGCATTATAAAAGGCTAACCGAAGTCAAATTACCACTTGTGAAATTGGGTGCCTGAGCAAACCCGCCAACTTAACTATCCGAGATTGCATGAGAATGATATTATCAGACAAACTGGGAATAACAAACACTGTACCAACCAAATTCACTGAGAAACAGAAGATCAAGATCACAGATGGTTTGGCCATGTAACAATGGTTTGGGAATGTAACAACGGTTTGGCCATGTAACAACGGTTTGGCCATGTAACAATGGTTTGGCCATGTAACAACGGTTTGGCCATGTAACAACGGTTTGGCCATGTAACAACGGTTTGGCCATGTAACAACAGTTTGGCCATGTAACAACAGTTTGGCCATGTAACAACGGTTTGGCTATGTAACAACGGTTTGGCCATGTAACAACGGTTTGGCCATGTAACAACAGTTTGGCCATGTAACAACAGTTTGGCCATGTAACAACAGTTTGGCCATGTAACAACAGTTTGGCCATGTAACAACAGTTTGGCCATGTAACAACAGTTTGGCCATGTAACAACAGTTTGGCCATGTAACAACGGTTTGGCCATGTAACAACAGTTTGGCCATGTAACAACAGTTTGGCCATGTAACAACGGTTTGGCCATGTAACAACAGTTTGGCCATGTAACAAGACTGGCATCAGACAGGGCACCACAGAGAGCAATGTTATTCAGATACAGCGGTAACAGAGCCAGAGGTCAACCACGCAGGAATGAACCGCACAAAAATCAGAGATGCTCAATAGTATTATATATGAAGTGTACACAAGGGCGTGTCGTTCCAGAGATCTCTTCTTGCCCTGACGTTGTGAGGCGTTCCAGAAGTACAGGAAAGAAGAAGACGACAGAAGATCAAATGACAAATTACAAAAGACTTGTTAGAATGCAGCAACAACTGCCAACATGGGCGCTGGGTTCTTTTCTTTTAATTAACCCTGTCTCGGAGACTGAGATTTCGTGGGGAGTTCCGGGGAAAGTCAAATATTATAGGGGTGTTAGGGTGTGAAATGAACATCGACTAACACTAACACCCCTCCCCCCTTTGCACTGGATTTTTCCGGGAACACTCCATGAAATCTCAACATGGGGTGAAGTACAAGAAATGGACCAGGCGCTACACATGACAAACACTGATGTGAAAGTAAGAGGTCGCCCTAGGAGAACTTGGTCCACTGAAACGTGTTTGGTTGTCTCCCAAAGCTCTACATTGGTGATTTTCTCATACCATTTCATTCCCTCTATTCTGGGCAGGCACCAGTTAACCTGACTAACATCAAGGAAGGGCAAATAAATGAGTGTGTAGCGCTTATTCAGAGACACAGCCGCCGATAGCTCGGTACGATATAGGTCATAAGGTGTGAGCGTTTCAATGAAGGTGAGTAATTCAGCAGGAGCGAGCAGAGAGCTACATGGTGGCAAACATGGCTGGTTGTTGGTTGCTGTGCGCGTGCTAGGATTGTTCATATTTTCAAATGTGAGGGCAAATAAACAGTAGGGGATATCCTTGAAGACTGGTCGCTCCAGGGACTGAAGATACTGTTTCACACACGACAAAAAAAAAGGATTGGGGGGGGGGGACAAGTTTAAG